CCTTCATCAGAAAAAGCTTTTTCTGATGAAGGGTCTAGGCCCGAAACGTCAGCCTCTCTGCTCCTATGATGCTGCTTGGCCTGCTGTGTTCATCCAGCCCTGCACCTTGTTGTTTCAGCTTATCTATTATTCCTACCAAAGTACATTATCCAAAATTTTTCCAAATTCTTTTCCATCAAGCAAGTTTTTTCCCCACTCACTAAACCTGTCTGTATCCCTCAGTAGATCATTGTGTCATCCTCAACACTTGCCTTCACATCTATTTTCGTCATCTGCAAATTTGGTGATGAGTACATTTCACGTCAGTCATCCAAGTCACTAATAGATATTATAAATGATTGTGGTCCCAGGATGGTTTTTGTGGCATTGCACCAGTTACAGGTTGCCGTTCTAAATACACCCTTTTTAAAAGAAGACAGAGTGTTGGAATAGTTAGCCAATCCTTATCCTTGCTTACTTACTACCCCCAACACCATGGATTTTTACTAGCTTTATGCAAGGAACCTTGTCAAATGCAGTTTTGAAATCCGAATATACTACTTCCATTGGTTTCCCTTTATCTATCCTGCTTGTTGAAATAACTCCTTAGAGACTGGTATCCTGCCACCAAGTCACCTTTATTTACTTGCATGGGGGTGGTAGTCCTACAAATCAAATAGGAACTGGGATAGTTTGGTTTCTAAGGAAGTTGTAGGCTGTTTCTTTAAGCCTGCCTTCAAAGTTTGGACTACTTATCGTTGAATCCCTACAACGCAGAAGAAGGCCATTTGAGTCCAAACTGACCCTTCGAAGAGCAGCCCTTTCAGACCCACCTCCCCACCCTATCCCTGTAACTCTACATTTCCCATGGCTAATCCACCTAGCCTGCACATGCCAGGACACTATGGGCAATTTAGCATGACCAATCCACCTAACCTGCACAGCTTTGTGTCTGTTGGAGGAAGCCGGAGCACGCGGAGGAAACCCGTGCAGACACAGAGAACGTGCAAACTCCACACAGGCTGTTGCTGAAAGGTGGAATCTAACCTGGGTCCCTGGTGCTGTCAGGCAGCAGTGCTAGCCACCATGCCATCCTTCTTTCTGCCAGACCATCCATTGGATGATGGATGGTATGGAGTTGTCCTTATTTGTTGAATGCCATTCATCTTTATGAAATACTCAAATTCCTTGCTGGTAAACCCTAGCCCGTTATCTGTGACCAACAACTCTGGGAGTCCATATATCGCAAATTATGTGCACAGTTTTTCTGTCGCCATCCCCGTGTTTAATGAGTGAACTGCGTGTGTCCAGCCACTTTGAATGGACGTCCACAATGACTAAGAACATTGAGCCCATGAAAGAACCTGTATAGTCAACATGTAACTGAGTCCAAGGTTTACCCGGCCAATTCCACGAATGTGGGGGAGCTGCTAGCGGTAATTTTTGTCCTTGTTGGCACTGTGGGTACTGCCCCACTAATGTAGCTATATCTGCATCTAAACCTGGTCACCAGACATAACATCATCATTTTGGAAACCTCTGGATAACCCTGGTGGAGTTCAGCCAATATTTGGTGGTGACCTTTGCTTGGGACAATCACTCTTGCTCTCCACAAAAGTAGGATGTCCTCTAATGTAATCTGGTCTCTTCAGATTCAAAAAACATTTCAGTTCTGATTGTGACGTCCCTTTAGTTTCCCTCATCACCACCAGATAATATTGTCAGCTGTGACTGGAAGTGTGTCCAGAAAATTTAAAACCATTGCGAACTCTTCCATTCGCAGTAACACTGCTGGTGTTTTCCATTGGAAGCAGCTCAATACATCCACATTTGCTACTTGGCACCTGGACAGTGTTTCAATTTGAAATTATGTATGCTTAGTATTAGAGCCCACCACCGAATTCAGCCTTAAGCTATGGGCAGCACTGCCTTGTCTTCTTTAAGTAAACCTAGCAGGGGTTTGTGGTCCATTATTATTACAAATTTACATCTGTAAAGGTATTGGTGGAACTTCCCGACTCCAAATATGGCTGTCAAACCTTCCTTCTCTGTCTGGGTGTATTTCCACCCTGCATTAGCCAAAGGTCTGGGAGCATGCACTATTGGGTTCCTTGCCATTGGGCCACCTATGAGCTAATACGATCCGAATGCTGTACAGGAACACATCACATCAATGCCAGATTTCACTTGGGATCATAATGTGCCAATATCTTAGAGGATGATAACTATTTCTTCCATTTCCTGAAAGCTCTGGCTTGGCAATGCGACTATTTCCAAGGCTGACCCTTTTTTTTTCAGAAGAGTTGATGCAAAGGTGCCAGGATGGAGGCCAGGTTATGTATAAATTTTCTGTAATAATTCACCAGCCCAGGGATAGAGCTGAGAGTTGGAGCAACTTTGATCGCCTTCACTTTATTTTCCAACGGGTGTAACCCGGTCTTGTCAATGCTGAAGCCCAAGTACGTCACTTGAGGTGCCTGAAACACACGTTTTTCCCTTCTAAGGCATATGCCTGCCTGGGATAAATGTCTAAAGACTATCTCCAAGTACTTTAAGTGCTCCTTATTGGTTTTCCCTGTTATTAGCACGTCATCTAGATAAATGGTGACCTGGGGTAGACCTTGTAAAATGTTCTGTATTGTTGGCTGAAAAATTGCATAGTCTGATGACACCCCAAATGGCAGTTTCGTATATTGGTACAAAACCCTTATGGGTCTTAACTGTAGCATTCTTCTGGGAATCCTCATTTAACTTTAATTGCAAATACGCGTGGCTTATATCCAGCTTTATGAAGGACAGCCCCCCTGCCAGCTTTGCGTATAAATCCTCTATGCGATGGATTTGGTATTTATCCAATTGTGAAAAGTGTTTTGCTGTTTCTCTAAAATCCCCACAAAGGCAAACGAACTCATTGGGCTTCACAATCGGTACGACTGGTGCTGCCCATTCTGCAAACTGGATTAGTTTAATGATTACTTCGCTTTCCGGCCTTCTGATTGCTGCCTCTACTTTTGCCCATAAGGCACTGGAATTGGGTGGGCCTTGCAGAATGGTGGAATTGTTTCCTGCAACATGTAAGGTGGCCTTGGCTCCTTTGATGGTTCCTAGACCTTCCTGAAGAACGTCTAGGTATTTAATTAGGACTTCACTCTTGCAGCCGTTTTCTAATCGAAAAATGTCGAACCTATTAGGTGAATCTTTTTAACCAATTTCATCTCCTCCATCTCATCCATCTTGGGCCTGAACCTTTTACTACAATCAATGGTAACTGAACCAGCTGCTTCTCATAAGAGACCAAAACCAAAGTTGTACCCTTAATCTGTAAAAGTTCCCAGTCTAGTGACGTCTTGCGCAAACTTAGGATTTGGAGTGCAGAGTGAATTTTTTTAGAAACTAGTTGTGCGATCACTGAAACAGCTGCGCTGGTATCGACCTCCAATAGAATTGGATGACCATTTACCCAGATGTTTATTTTGATTGGTTCTGATTTGGATGTTGCTAAGCAATTTAACTGTTCCAAACCAAATGAAGGTGGACTTTCTAGGGTGTGCAGTCTCCTGGATACTGTCCTGAGTTCTCCTACTCAGTTTAGGTCTAGTGGGACTCTTTTGCTGTCTGGAGTCTGCATGTCAGCAGCAACTACAGTGGTTTGTTGGCTGGAATTCTGAAGAAAATATTAAACATTTGGCCAAGGGTTGGCTTTGTTTTGCTGCGGGCTGACCCAGTGTCTCTCTGTTCAGGATATGGCCCAAGTGAGGTTATGTAATTGCCTTTACTCAAGTGGTATTTCCCAAGCTCAGTTGGTCTGGCAAGGGGGTCCACTTCCATTGGACTACCCTGTAATTGTATGCTCCACTTGGCACATTTTCCAATGTTAAAGCTAGTTGTCGGCCTGTTTGGAGTCTGGTAGGGTTTCATGTAGTAGGTGCTTTTGCGTAGTTACGTCGTTAATCCCACATAACAAATGGCCTCTCAGCATCTCGTTAAGGTACTGCCTCTGCCGGTCGTCTTAATTTAGTCAGAATTCCTGATCCAAATTTCCTTGGTTCTCAAATTGCGGAGTAAGTCCAGAAGGCTATAAAATGCCTATTCCGAAGATGAGATGTTGTTCCTCCAGTTTATGCTGTGGTTCACTGGAACACTGCGGCATGCTGATCACTTTATCCGAATAATCAACATCTTTCTCCACCAGCACCCTACACCCGCTACCCCACACCCCCTTACCCCCAACTAAAGCGTAAATGGTGTCCCTTTCACACTTCACTTCAGCTCTGATAAAAAGTCATCTACACTCAACGTTAGCTTGCTCTCTTTCCATACATGCTGTCTGACCTGCTGTGATCTCCAGCGTTTGTTGTTTTCAGTACAGATTGCAGCATCTGCAGTAATTTGTTCCTTACTCTTTCAGTAATTAGCCATGTCTTTATCATACATTTTCCCTTTGGTATCTAATCAGACTCAACTCTTTTTACCTTGTTCTTATGCATGTAGAAGACTTTTGTATTCCCCTTTTTGTTTGCTGCCAGTCTCTTCTCGTACTTGGCTTGTCTAACTTCTAATTTCATCTCCTCTCTGAATTTCTTATATTCAGCACGGATCACACTTGAATTATGAATCCTACTTTGTTTTACTCTCTATCACTTTAATCTACTAGGAAGCTCTGACACGTTTGACTTAGTTTTTCCCTTTGTGGCAATACACCAGTCTGAACATTTCATGGAAACAGTGCAAGGCAATGGCCTAGTGGTATTATCGCTGAACTATTAATCCAGAGATCCAGGTAATGTGCTGGGGATCTGGATTCAAATCCTGCCATGGCAGATGGTGGAATTTGAATTCAATAAAAGCCTGGAATCAAGAGTCTAATAATGACCGTGAGTCCATTTTCAATTGTCAGAAAAACCCATCTGGCTCACTAGAGTCATACAACGTGGAAACAGATCCTTTGGTCCAACCAGTCCGTGCCGACCATAATCCCAAACTAAACTAGTCTCACCTGCATGCACTTGGCCCATATCCCTCCAAACATTTCTTACTCATGTACTTCTCTAAATGTCTTTTAAATGTCCTTTAGGGGCAAGGAAACTGCCATCCTTACCTGGTCTGGACTACATGTGACTCCAGACCCACAGCAGTGGTTGACTTGGGCAGTAAATGTTGGCTTAAACAGCGACACCCACATCCCATGAATAAATTATAAAAAACCGTGATGACTTCTGTTCCACTATTTGTTTGACTATAAACTGTCTTAACAGACAAATACTCAAGATATAATTAAGTACTTATTCATCAGATTTTCTGTTCTCAGCTGCTGCTGTTGTGATGATCTCATTCCATTGAATAGGTTGACAATGAAATGTTTTACTTAACTCTTCTGTATTTCTTAGATTTTAATTTACAGCCTTAAATCTTGTTTATAATTGCATGATAATTGATGACCTGAATTGAAGTGCTCCATATCATTTTGGAACAAATGTGTTGGTCTTCAATCACAGCCAGTCATTGTCTTCAAATTTGTAGAAATCTGGTCATTTTATTCTAACATTTAACTATTTTTGGTTTCATTCAATGATCAGAGCTGTGAAAGATATTCAGAATTCAGGGCTGATGTTCCATTTATCCAATTCCACAGAAACATTTTTTACTTTGCAGGTTGACTGTAGGTTAAACAAGGAGCTACTTCCCGCACATAATAAGGTTTTAAATGTAGATGGTGACAAGAACTTTCTTTATAAATCAGGTAAGATACTTCAGCCATATTTAGCTGTATCTAGCCCCTCAGATTATGTGGTTGGGTTGTGGGCAATTGTGGATACTTTCCCATTCATGAAATGGTTATAGTGGTGATTCAGAAAACCATGCTTGTGAAGCATGAGAGGGTGTGGGGCGCAACCCATGCTGAACGCGGTGGAGGGTACAGGGCGAGCCCAGGAGACAGTAAGGTCTGCAGATACTGGAAGCCAGAGTCAATAAGCATGGAGCTGGGCAAACACAGTAGATCAGTCAGCATTAGAGAAGCAGGAAAGTCAGCGTTTCGGGTCAAAACCCTTTGTCAGGACTGGGGAGGGGGAGCGGAGCCCAGAAATAAATTGAGAGAGCAGGGTGGGTTGGGGGAAGGGTAGGTAGGATGGTGATAGGTGGATGCAGGTAAGGGGTTATAGTGATTGGTGAGTAGGAAGGGTGGAGCGGATAGATGAGTAGGAAGATGGTTAGGTCAGGTCAGGTCAGGGTGGCAGGACATGGGATAAGGCTAGGGCTGGAGGGATTTTGAAGCTGGTGAAGTCAATATTCAGGCCCTTGGGCTGTAAGTTCCCAAGATGAAATATCAGATGTTGTTCCTCCAGTTTACGTTTGGCCTCCCTCTGACAGTCGAGGAGGCCAAGGATGGAATGTTGCCAGGGGAGTGGGAGGGGGTATTAAAATGGATGGCAACCAGAAGGTTGGGTTGGTGGTTGCATGCAGAGCACAGATGCTCCGTGAACTGGATGCGTTTGGTCTCCCTTACACAGAGGCGACCACATTGGGAGCAACGGATGGAATAAATCAGGGTGGATGACGTGCAGGTGAAACTTTACCAGATCTGGAGGGATTGCTTGGGGCCTTGAATGGACGTGAAAGGGGAGGTGTAGGGGCAGGTGTTGCCCTTGCAGTTGCAAGGAAAGGTACCAGGTGTGGTGGAGAGGTTGTTGGGGAGAGTCGAACTGATGAGGGAGTCACAAAGTGAACTGTACCTGTGGAAAGCGGACAGGGGTGGGGCAGGAAATATCTTTCTGGTGGTGGGGTCTGATTGTATGTGGTGGAAATGTCAGAGAATGACACGTTGGATCTGGAGGTTGGTGGGGTGGTACGAGAGGACTAAGGGGACTCTATCCTTATTGTCGTTGAGGGGAGAAGATTTGAGGGCAGAAGTGTGGGAAATGGGGGAGATGCGGTTGAGGGCATCCTTGATGCCGGAGAGGGTAGTGGAGTTGGCCTCAATAGGGGCATTTAAGCGGCAAAAAGATAGGCAAATGGATGATAGTATAAGGTAGGGGTGGAGGTTAGATAGACCTTAGGTTTAGGGTAAAAGTTCAGCACAACATCATGGGCCGAAGGGCCTGTACTGTGCTGTACTGTTCTATGTTTTATGTTTTATGTTCTATGATTACATAAAAAGGGGGGAACTATGGTCTCTGAAGTGTGAGGATATCTGGGATGTCCTGGAGTAGAATGCCTCATCCTCGGAGCGGATGCAGCGCACGAATTGAGAGCATGGGATAGCATTTTTGCAGGAGGGTGGATAAGAGGAGGTGTAGTTGTGGGGGTCAGTGGGTTTGAAATGGATGAGTTGGTTTCTGGAGATGAAGACGGAGAAGTCCAGGAAGTGGAGGGAGGTGTCACAAGTGGTCCAGGTGAATTTGAGGGCGGGGTGGAAGGTATCAGCGAAGTTGATGAACTGCTCAAGCTACTCGTGGGAGCACGAGGCAGCATCGATACAGTCATCAATATAATGCAGAAAGAGGTGAGAGATGGTTCTGGTGTAGTTGTGGAAGCGGGACTGTTCCACGAATCCTACAAAGAGGCAGGCATAACTCGGGTTCATGTGGGTGCTCATGGCCACCCCTTTGGTTTATAGGAAATGGGAAGAATCAAAGGAAGAATTGTTGAGGGTGAGGACCAATTCTGCCAAGTGAATGAGTGGAGGGCGACTGGTTGGGCCTACGGGAGAAGAAGAAACGGAGGGCTTTTAAGCCCTTTGTGTGGGGGATACATGTGTACAGGGACTAAACGTCCATGGTGAAGATGAGGTGTTGGGGGCTGAGGAATTGAAAGTTTTGGGAATAAGTGGAGGGTGTGGGATGTGTCACGAATGTAGACGGGGAGTTCCTGGACCAAAGGGGAGAGAACGGAGTCGAAGTAGGGGGAGATGAGCTCGGATGGGACAGGAATGGGCAGAGACAATGGGTCGACTGGAGCAGTTGGGTTTATGGAACGTGGTTGGAACAAATGAGAGGGGGTGGAGAGATGTCACGGTGGAAATTTGAGATAAAGAGTTCGATGGAGGAAAGGAGGCCTGGATGGGGTGTCCAAGAGAATGGACAAGTTTGCTGGAGCTGGGAGAAGGTATCGTCAGAGAGTGAATTGGATTCCCGTTCAACCCATGCTGAGCATGGGAGAGGCTACAGGGTACAACTCCTCAAGTGAAACTAGGGATGGGCAAGAAATGCTGGCCAGCCAGCGATGCCCACACCCCGCAAATGAATAAAAAAAAACCCACACTGAGCACAGGAGAGGGTACAACTGAGCACTAGCCACCTGTGCTAGAACTTTGTAGCGGGGCAGTCAGCACTTAAGAAAAATGGATCAACATCCCACCACAGGCTTCATAAGACTTGAATGTTTTGATCCATCTGAAATGAGAATACTTTTCTGTGTTAGTCACCAACCTGTAATATTCTAGCATTTTTCACATTTTTAATTGTTTCAGCTTTTGTAGTTTTATATTTGTCTCAAATAGCTTGGAAATAAAGTGTTCATTTCTAATCTCATAATATTGTTGCTTTCAGTAATGTGTATCCCATTTGATGCCATGTGTCATCTGGTTAGAATTAAATTCAGGTCAAGCACTCAGATCCACATATGGTATAGTTTTAATTTGTCCTATTTTCAGGTAATGACTTCATGCTAGTTATTGGAATAATGTTTTCCTTGAAAATATGATATTTTGTAAATTTTCCAACATTCCAATTGTGCTTGTCCACATTTACATTTTGTATATCATACCATAGCTGTTTTTTTAAGAATTTTAGATGTACTAAATAAGCTGTTTCACCTTGTCCTTAGCAACAGGGCCAGAAGGCCCAACCTGCACTTCAAAGGAAATAAAGTTTAAAAACTAATCTGCAGGAGTGTTATTTCAGTGATTGAGTTATCAAACCGTGGAAACTGTTTCTAAGCAGATGAAAGTGATAGTACTGACGATAATGTAAACTGTGTGTTACGTTAAGTCTTTATTTATTTTAATGAGTTAGAACAAAGGTTTTCCACTTTCAGGGGATGTGACCTGCTGTGCTTTTCCAGCCTCTCACCTGTGGATTCTGGCTTCCAGCATCTGCAGTCCTTATTGTCTCCAAGTCAGCCCGTAGTATTCCCCTCATATTTCTCAGGCGTTTTTCTCCCTCTACGTTCAAAACTCTGTCATTCATTGCAATTTGTTTGAGTTTACAGATATTTTTAGAACTCCCCAATTCTTTTAAGTTATCAAAGAAAATTCATTGTTTTCTGGCCTTTGGTTCCTTGCCACATGCATATTTGAGGGTCCTGGTTCCTTCCAGAGAAATGTATCTCTCTTTGCTTCAAAACCTTTTGCCCTGAGTTTTTCAGTTATGTGAAATATCTAACTTTATTCTTGCTTTGAAATTCTCAAGTGTTCTTGAAACTGGGATTCTGGCAAAGTAAGTTGTACAAAGCAGAAGAAGATCAGAAAGATCTTTCAAACAGTGAGCTCTAATGATGCAGTGGAAATTCATATTAAAATGTAAGGGAATAGTTCAGCACAAAACTACTGAGGTACTTTGGTTCCTAATATTAATCTTGGATAATATTGCTTCTCAGAAAAATAAGACCTGGATCTCTAGAAGAACTCAACAAACAAAAAGTGAGAAATAGAGTAAATGGTTGTTATATTTTCTATTCACTGACTATTGCATGTATTTTCCATTGTTGCAGCTAAAATCAGTACTTGGTAGTGATCAGTTGAAGTATTTGAATGTAAATTGCTAGAGCGTCGCGATTAAGCAGCGTGTTAAGTACACAAGTTATAGTGAGGCAAACTGCACACGTGAAGATGCTGCATCCAGTTTTTGTCGTTTACAGACTCAATATGCCACGATGATCCAACTCACTACTACTCGGAATCAGTGTCGCGGGTAACAGCTGGAGATATGCCGTCATATGTTCCCCTTTCAGTAAAATGCAAGTCACGACAGGGCTCTCGTAGCGCTGTACCTTCCCCATCTCACAGTCAAGGAACTTTGCCATACTTACCAGGTACTTCATAATTCATTCTGTTGCAGTTTGTAAAAAGGCTGAAGGATTTTTGGTCTTTATCTCAAGACAGCTGGAATGCAAAGAAATATTGCAGTGTGCAGAGCTCATCTTGGATCCTGTTTCCAGTAATACGTTCATCACTGGACATTGAACCTCATTTTTTCTATACACAGATATCTCAGGTATCACAGATTCTCCAAAATGACACATAAAATAGTTAAAATTACTAGAATAGTTTGTTTCATAGATTGGGCCTTTGTTCCCTTGAATACAAAAGATTAGGGAGGAATCTTGATTTATGAAGATCTAGTTGATTTATTTAAGCTGATCACAGGATTTAATAGGGAAGAAAGGGGAAAGAATGACTTCCTGTATTTGGGAAGGTTCAACACCAGGAAGAATAATCTGTAATGATGGCAGAAGCATTTCTTCCCACAAGAGTTAGTGGAAATCTGGAATTCACTCTCTCCAAAAAGGCGTTGAGGCTGGGTATAGATTGAAACTTTCTAACCTTAGTTTAATGTACTTTGTTTGGCAAGGGTATTGAGAGTTATGGAATCAAGGTAGTCAGATGGAATTGGTGTATAGATCAGTCATGATCTAACTGGACAATGAACAGGCCCTGGAGGCTGAAGGCCTTCGTCTTGTTTCGATAAATTTTGCCAGTTAGTTCTAGGATATTTATTATTAATGAATTTAAAAAAAAAATCTTTTCAGTGTTGTGTGCAAAGCAATTAATATGCCTTTTAATACCCTGGTGATAGTTTGTTCTAAATATGTAGTGAATTTCTCTATAATCAGTGCAGTTAATATCGCCTAGGTGACCACGTAATTTTTTCTGAGACACCATCAACTCCTGGAATTCCTGTTGTGTACCGCACACCTGAGGAAAGGGCAGAACATTCTGATCGGCTAAATTTAGATAGGTGAGTATTTTGAAATAAGAAAAAGATTTATTTAAAGCTGGCAATGGTGTGTGTGATTTTCATAATCCTGAGCGAATGAAGATATTTGTTTATAAACAAAGAAAATACACTAAGAAGGAAGTGCACACTTCAGCTTGTGGAAAAATCTTACCTCTGCATGCTCTTTCTGTCTTTATACTTATTGTTGTCAGAGTATTGTCATGTTCTATACTTGCTTTCTCCATAAGAAATTCCTGGAATCATATTTGTAAAGGAAATGGCAGAGTGATATGATTACATCCTGCTTGCAGGATTGATGTTGTGGCCGCTCTTTAATGTATTTCATGGGTCCTCTGTATGCATCAGTCAGAAACTCCTCCAACTTAGCTATCTTGCTTGTAACCTCTGTAACTTCTGTTTATTATAGATAACACATTACTGAATCATCCGACTTAAAATCTTAAGTCTGCACATCATTATGATGCAGAAAGAGACTATTGGGCACATTCAGTCCGTGGCTCTCAGTAATAGAACATAGAACATAGAACAGTACAGCACAGCACAGTACAGGCCCTTCGGCTCACGATGTTGTGCCAAACTTTTACCCTAAACCTAACGTCTATCTAACCTCCACCCAACCTTATTCTATCATCCATATGCCTATCTAATAGCCACTTAAATGCCCCTAATGAAGCCGACTCCACTACCCTCTCTGGCAATGCATTCCACGCCCCTACCACTCTCTGAGTAAAGAACCTACCTCTGATGTCTCCCCTATATCTACCTTCACTCACTTTAAAACTCTGCCCCCTCGTAATAGCTACCTCCACCCTAGGAAAAAGTCTCTGGCTGCCCACTCTATCTATACCTCTGATCATTTTGTACACCTCCAACAAGTCACCTCTCATCCTTCGTCGTTTTAAAGAGAAAAGCCCGAGCTCTCTCGACCTTTCCTCGTAAGACCTTCCCTCCATTCCAGGCAACATCCTGGTATATCTCCTCTGTACCTTTTCCAACGCTTCCACATCTTTCCTGTAATGAGGCGATCAGAACTGGACACAATACTCCAGATGTGACCGAACCAGGTTTTTGTTTGGCTGGAGCAAAACTTCACGGCTCTTGAACTCAGTCCCTCTATTACTGAAAGCTAACACACCATATGCCTTCATAACAACTCTATGCACCTGGGTGGCAGCTTTCAGGGAACTGTGGACACGAACCCGAAGATCCCTCTGCTCCTCCAAATTGCCAAGAATCTTTCCATTAACCCTGTATTCTGCTTTCAAATTTGTCGTTCCAAAATGAAGCACCTCACACTTTTCAGGGTTAAACTCCATCCGCCACTTCTCAGCACAGCTCTGCATCCTATCAATGTCCCTTTGTAACCTAGAACAGCCCTCCGCACTGTCCACAACGCGACCCACCTTCGTATCGTCCGCGACCTTACTAATCCACCCTTCCACTCCTTCATCCAAATCATTGACAAAAATCACAAATAGAAGAGGACCCACCACTCGTAACTGAGCACCATGTTGAATATTTTCCGTCCACTACCACCCTTTGTCTTCTAAGGGTCAGCCAATTTTGAATCCAATCTGCCACATTTCCCCCTATCCCATGCCTCCTTACTTTCTGCATGAGCCTACCATGGGGAACCTTATCAAACGCCTTATTTAAATCCATGTAGATAACTTCCACTGCTCTACCTTCATCCACGTGTTTGGCCACCTCTTCAAAGAATTCAATAAAGTTTGTGAGGCATGATCTACCCCTCACAAATCCATGCTGACTATCACAAATGAAACTGTGCCTATCCAAGTGATCATAAATCCCAGCTGTCAGACCCTTTCCAATAATTTGCCCACCACTGACGTAAGACTAACTGGCCTGTAATTTCCGGGGTTATCCCTATTCCCTTTTTTGAACAAGGGAATGACGTTTGCCACTCCAATCTTCCGGCACTATACCCATGGACAGTGAGGACGAAAAGATCATCGCCAAAGGCCCTGCAATTTCTTCCCTTGCTTCCCATAGAATGCTTGGATAAATCCCATCAGGCCTGGGGACTTATCTGTCTTCAAGTTCCTCAAAATTCCTAGTACATCTTCCTTACTAACATCGACCTCCTCTAGCCTACCTGCCTGTTTCACACTGTCCTTCCCTACAACTAGGTCCCTCTCAGTTGTGAATACCGAAGAAAAGTATTCATTAAGGACCTCTCCTATCTCTTTAGGCTCCATGCACAAATTCCCTTTACAATCCTTGATCGGCCCTACCCTTTCTCTGGTCATTCTCTTGTTCTGCACATATGTGTAAAAAGCCTTGGAGTTTTCCTTGATCCTATTTGCCAAGGTTTTCTCATGCCCCCTTATAGCTCTCCTAAGCCCTTTCTTCAGCTCCTTCCTGGATAACTTGTATCCCTCTAGAGCCTTTTCCGATCCTTGTTTCCTAAACCTTCTATAAGCATCCTTCTTCCTCTTAACTAGTCGTCTGACCTCTCTCGAGAACCAAGGCTCCCTCATTCGACCACATCTTCCCTGCCTGCTAGGGACAAACATATCGATCACATGCAGTATGCATTCCTTAAACAATCTCCACATTTCAATAGTGCTCTTCCCTGACAGCATCTGTTCCCATTTTATGTTACCCAGTTCTTGCCTAACAGAATCGTAATTACCCTTCCCCCAATTTTAAACCTTACCCTGCTGTATGTACCTGTCCTTTTCCATGACTATTGTAAAAGTAACAGAGGTATGATCGCTACCACCAAAATGCTCTCCTACCAACAGGTCTAACACTTGGCCCGGTTCATTGCCAAGTGCCAAATCCAAAGCGGCCTCTCCTCGTGTTGGTCTATCTACATACTGTGTCAGGAATCCTTCCTGAATGCACTGGACAAAATCCGCTCCATCTAAACTATCACAACTAAAAAGTTTCCAATCAATATGACTACAACCCTGTGACTTCTGCACCTTTTACAGTATCTGCCTCCCAATCCGCTCGTCCACTTCTCTGCAACTATTAGGGGGTCTGTTTTAAAAAAAAAAAACACCCAACAAAGTGACTGCTCCTTTCTTGTTCCTGACCTCAATCCAAACTGACTCTATAGACACATCATTCTCGAACTGCCTTTCAGTAGCTGCAATAATAGCCCTGACTAGCAATGCCATTCTGCTGCCTCTTTTACCACCCTCCCTGTTTCTTTTAAAGCATCTAAATCCCAGAACTTTCCAACAACTATTCCTGTCTCTGAGTTACCCAAGTTTCTGTAATGGCCACAACATCGTAGTTCCAAGTACTGACCCATGCCCTAAGTTCATCCGCCTTATTTCTGATACTTCTAGCATTGAAGTATACACACTTCAAACCATCCCTGTGTCCACAATTATGCTCCATCAACAGCATTTCTTTATTAACAAGCTCACTCCCTGTTGTGTCTGTTGGAAGGCTGAATACCTCATCAAATGTAATTTAATCAACTCCACAACTCCTTACATCCCACTGCATTCTTGCACATACATCCCCTAGTCATAGAGTCGTAGAGTTGTACAGCACGGAAACAGACCCTTCAGTCCAATTCATCCATGCCGACCGGATATCCTGAACTAACCTAGTCTCATTTACCAGCATTTGGCTCATATCCTTCTAAACCCTTCCTATTCGCATACCCATTCAGATGCCTTTTAAATATTGTAATTGTACCAGACTCTACCACTTCTTTTGTCAGCTCATTCCATACACGCACCATCCTCTGCATGAAAACGTTGCCCCTTGGGTCCCTTTTAAATCCTTCCCCGCTTACCTTAAACCTATGCCCTCTGGTTTTAGACTCCCCTACTCTGCGAAAAAAACTTTGGCTATTCACCCTATTCATGTTCCTCATCATTTTATAAACCTCTATAAGGTCATCTCTCAGCCCCTGACGCTCTGGGAAAAGAAAGCCACAGCCTATTCAGCCTCTCTTCGTAGCTCAAACTCTCCAACCAGTCAACATCCTTGCAAATCTTTTCTTTCAGGTTTAACAACATCTTTCCTATAGCAAGGAGACCAGAACTGAATGCAGTATTCTAAAAGTGGCCTAACCAATGTCTTGTACAGCTGCAACATGACCTCCAAACTCCTACACTCACTGCACTGACCTATAAAGGCTTCTTCATTACCCAGTTTACCAGCGACTCTACTTTCAAGGAACTGTGAACCCGTCTAATACTTCTACTATCCTCACTTCCAGTGATATTTTCTCAGTATTTTCTTCCTTAGTAAATGTCGGGGCAGAGTACCCAGCAAATATTCTTGCCTTGCTCCGTGCCTCTTTGCATAAATCGCCTTTGTCTCTACTGGATAGTACCCTCTTACAATCCAATTACTTTTTACAGATCAGTAAAAGATTTTTGTCTTTTCTTTAAATGTTAATTGTCATTCTGTTCTCAGGTTGTCTCTTTTCCAGTCTTATTTTCCTGTCCGTTTTGCCTCTCTGCTCAGGATATTTGGCCTGGTTCTCACTTGAGGATTTCATCTGACATGCGTCATACACCTTTTCTTTCATTTTACTGTTGTCTTTACCTCTTTGTTCATCCAAGCATCTGTGTCTTTGGTTTCCCTTATTTGCCCTGCTTTTAGAATTTACCTAATCTGTACCTGAAACAGCAATTCCTTATAGATCACCCAATATTCCGTTACAACTTTTCCTATCAAGCTTTAGTTCCTTTTAAGTGTGGTCAGTTTCCTTACTCGATAATTGCTCTTACCTAAGTGTGTTCCTTTTCTCCTCCATTGATCAATCATGTTCACACTCTCCTTTTTTTTTACCTCCTCTCCCCAACACATGCACGCACGCATGCAGACTCAGACACAGACAGACACATGCCTCCCCCTTCCCTCCTTTACCCTAACGTTGTACCAGTCAATGTGTGGATAATTAAAGGCCCCTAACATCCTTTCGAATAGCTCTGTGATTTCCTTGTAAATTCACTCTTATATTTAGCTATTTGGAGGTCTGCAGAATGCATTCAGTAGTTGAT